AATGGACTAAGAAATCAAGGATACAACATCTTTCACAAAAGGCTCAAATAGTATAAAACATGTTGGGGTAACTCAAACTGAGCAAGTCAAAGACTTGTATGATAAAAACTTCAAGTCTTTGAAGAAAGAAATCAAGGAAGATAGCAGAAGATGGAAAAATCTCCTATGCTCATGAATGTGTAGGATTAACAAAATAAAAATGACCATCCTATCAAAAGCAATCTATAGATTAAATGCAATCCTCATCATAATACCAACATAATTCTTTACAGACCTTGAGAAGACAATTCTCAGCTTCATGTGAAAAACAAAACAAAACACAAACAAACAAACAAAAAAAAAACAAAAAAAGCCCAGGATAGCTCAAACTGTCCTGAACAATAAAAGAACTGCTGAAAGGGCTTACCATTCTGATTTCAAGTTGTACTACAAAGCTATGGTAATAAATTCAGCATTATATTGGCATAAAACAGACATGTTGATACATGAAATGGAATGGAAGATCCACACATAAATCAAAAAACCCTGTGGACACTTGATTTTTTATAATGAAATCAGAAACACACTGGGGTGGGGGAAAGAGCATCTTCGACAAATGATGCTGGTCAAATTGGATGACTGCATGTAGAGGGATGCAAATATATCCATACTTGTCACCCTGCACAAAACTCAACTTCAGATTCATCAAAGACCTCAACATAAACCTGAGTACACTGAACCTGACAGAAAGCGAAATCGGGAATAGCCTTGAACTCATTGGCACAGGAGTAATCTTTCTGAACAGAACACCATTGGCTCAGGCAGGCGCTATGATCAACAACTAATAAATGGGACCTCCAGAAACTGAAAAGCTTCTGTAAGGGAAAGGCACTATCATTTGATCAAAGTGGTGGACTAGAGAATGAGAATTTTTTTTTTTTTACCAACCCCACATTTGATAGAGACCTAACATCCAAAATAAATAAAGAACTTGAGAAATTAGTTATCAAAAGAACCAAATTATCTGATTTAAAAATGGTGTATAGTTCTAAACAGAGAATTTTCAGTACAGGAAACTTACATACCTGAGAAACACTTAAATGTTCAACATTCTTAACCATCAAAGAAATGCAAACCAAAACCACTAAGATCAATAAAAGAGGTTACAATTCAAATTGTCAAAAATGTGGGATAAGAGGAAGACTCCTGCATTGTTGGTGGGAGTGCAAGCTTGTACAGCCATTGTGGAAATCATTATAATGATTCGTCAGGAAGACAGGAATTGATTTATCTAAATATCCAGCTATACCACTCTTGGACATAAAACCAAAGGACACTTCATAGTACCACACAGACACTATTTTTTAATCCATGTTCCTTGCTACTCTATTCATAATAGCCAGAAACTGAAAACAACTTACATATTTCTCAACAAAATATGGATAAAAATGTGATATATATTTATACATTGGGGTATTAATAGCTCTAAAAAATGACACCATGAAATTTTCAGGCAAATGGATGGAACTAGAAAAAATCATCTTGAGTGAGGTAACATAGACCTCCCAATAAATATGATATATATTTACTTATATATGAATATTAGCCATTAAATAAATGATAACAAAACTTACAACCTGCATACCTGGAGAGGTTAGGTACACATGAAGGAACTGAGGGTGGGAGACATAGATTTTTCTGGGGTGGAACAGAATAGATTTTATGGGCTGACTAGGGGTTGTGTAGGGAATGGTAGAAACAGAAGAAGCAGGTGGGGAAGAGGTGAGAAGAGGTTGATGGAGGGGTTGGAAAAGAAAGAGCTAGAATTGGGTGGCATTTATGGGGTCATATGGAAATCAAGTGAAGTGAAAACTTCCTAAAATGTATAATGGCAATCCTAATGGAGTCTGAAAATAATGCTGTTTATGTAATGCAATTTTTTTCTCTTTCAATCATGGCAAAGTCTTGCTTGGTATGCTATTCTAGGTTGGCCTTTGTAATCTGTAGGACTTGGAATGCATTGCTCAAGGCTCTTAGTTGTTTTTCTGTTGGATTTTACTTAGGATGTTACTTTCATTTTTTTTCTTTTGCAGCTTTCAATACACTCTCATAGTTCTGTATATTTAGTGTTTTAACTATAATATGCCATGAGGGATTTTCCCTTCTGATCTTGCTATTTGGTGTTCTGTGTGATTCTGTGTGTATATGTTGGGCATGTTTTTCCTTGGCTTAGGGTAGTTTTCTTCTATGATTTTGTTGAGAATCTGGTGTATGGCATTGACTTTGGATTCTTTTCTATCGTCTATTCCTGTTCAAAGTTTTGATTTTATTGTGGTGTCCTATATTTCCTGGATAGTCTATCCTGTGTTTTAAATTTTTTTCATATTCTTTGTTTACTTGATATCCTACATTCTGCTTGCTTCATTGTAATGTTTTCCTATGAGTTTTCTAGTTGAATTATTGAGTTTTCCAATTCCATCTTTATTTCAGCTAGAGTCATCTTAAATACTTCTATCACCTTATTGAATTTTATTCTCAAATCCTGCATTGTCTTTGCTATTTCCACCAGCCTCATGTTTGTGTTTTCCTGGGCATCTCTCAGACATTTATTCTCTTCACATTCTCTCTCCTTAATTTCATTGAGCTCTTTCTTTGTGTCTTCTTTGATCTTCTTCAATTCTTTGATGAAGTTTATTATTGTTCTTTTACGTTATATGTCCTATAGTTCATCTAGGTAATTCTCATTTGCAAGCATTTCTATAGAACTGGTAGATTTTTTTTTTTTTTTTTTTTGGTTTTTCGAGACAGGGTTTCTCTGTGTAGCTTTGCGCCTTTCCTGGAACTCACTTGGTAGCCCAGGCTGGCCTCGAACTCACAGAGATCCGCCTGGCTCTGCCTCCCGAGTGCTGGGATTAAAGGCGTGCGCCACCACCGCCCGGCTTTTTTTTTTTTTTTTTTTTTAATTTATTTATTTATTATGTATACAGAAGAGGGCACCAGATCTCATTACAGATGGTTGTGAGTCACCATGTGTTTGCTGGGAATTGAACTCAGGACCTCTGGAAGTGCAGTCAGTGCTCTTAACCTCTGAGCCATCTCTCCAGCCCAGAACTGGTAGATTTTGGAGAGAAGATGGTGGCTTGATATTTTACATTGTCTAGAGTCTTGCAATGATATCTGGGCATGTTGACTTCTTTTCTTAATTCTAAATCTGATATATAGAGGGCAAGTTGGGGCAGAAGAGAGAATATGCAAGTAGGGTAGGCCAGAGACTGGGTATGGCTTGTGTGGAATGAAGTAAGGTGAACAGAGAAAATTGGGTAAGATGTGCTTCCTGGTCAAAACCTAGAGCACAGGTGTAACTCTGGTGTGGTGGAAAGATTGGATGTGGAAAGATTGGGGTTGATAGGAAATGTTCTGACTGAAACATAGAAATAGGTTACATACAGTATATGCAATGGTGGCTTGAATAGTACAGGGCACTGGATGTGGGAACTAGTCTAGATTTGTCAGGTTGTGGCAGTGGATGGATGTGGAGTGCTAGGGAGATTCAGTGGGCTAGACTTTGGAGAAAACTGTGTGAGATCTGTCTGTGTAGAGAGGTTGGATTCAGTGTATAAGGGATCTGTGGGTAGAACACGTAGCAAATTTGATCTTTTAGACAAACTGGTTGAAATTGTGTTTATTAGGAAAAAGAGGTTAAATCTGTTTATGAGTGTCAACTAACAAAAACCAATACAGATACAGTAATTTCATGGAGCTGAATGCCATGTAATTTCTGCTGTAGTCATCTGGGGTCAGTGAGATGTTCAAATCTTGTAATTTCATTTCTATGTTCTTTTGGAGGAAAATAGTAATATTTTATAGTATTATCTGATAAATCCTGAAGTTCATAGCCATGTGTCTATAAACACACACACACACACACACACCAACACAAGTTTCATACCTATTAGCTACCATTTTAGCTTTATTGCTGGTGTTTTCTCATTTTATCTTTAGTGTTTTATGATAGGGAATCCTACTTATGATACAGATAAGAAAATGAGCTTCAATTATTTTTGGGCATTTTTGTCATTGCCATTCTGTTTCCAGAGCAGGATCTAAGATTGCATAAGCAGTCTCTGAGGATTCTGTCCCTGAGCTGAGTCTAAATCTGAGGTTACAATAGGATATATTTTTAGCAAAATCCTTGCAGTACTTAACACAATATAAATGTGTACTTTGGGTACTTTTCAGGAAGAAGTTTAAGTACTATGCTGTTTGAGGTTTTGCAGAAAACCACAGTGAATCTGCTGCTGACATTTGGTGAGCAGGTAAGACAGTACGTGGAGAGACATATGAGAAGTACAGGCTAAGATCTGTTTTCATACATGTGTCTCTAGAATGGTCCGTACTGAGAAGTCAAAATTTCTATTCTGAGGTTTAACATGCCTATAAGTCTGAATCCATGATTCATGTTCACTATACTTTGCTTACTGCATTTTTACCGCCTCTGTAATGTATTCCCTTTACCTATACTAAATCCTGCAACAGAGAGAATTCCCGGAATCAAATCACATTCTGTAATGTTTCTCAAGGGAAGAAGAGAGGTCTAATTATTACAAATCTGCATTGAGTTTGCCACAGTGCCTATGCTCAGAGGTAAATGAAAAACTGCAGTATGAACACGATCAGAATTATTCAAATGGCTGAAGATATGAGTGAGCACACAATCTGCTGCAACAGGCTCTATTTCATAGTAAAAGTGAGTTCAGCTCTGTACATGTTGTGAACAACTGCACTAACCCTTCCATCCCCCTGCCTCCTTATCATCTTATTATTTTGTGTTCTCTCTGTGTGTGTCTCTGTATGTCTCTGTCACTATCTGTCTCTCCCCTCTTGTGTGTGTGTTGTGTGTGTGCGTGTGCATGCGTGTGTGTGTGTGTGTGTGTGTGTGTGTGTGTGTGTGTGTGTGTGTGTGTTTCCCTCATTTTTTTCCCAACAGGAAGAAGAGCTTCACCTTTTCTGACCAGTGCAAGATGATAACCCACAACAGAAGCATTTCCCACCCAGCCACATTTTTCCTCATTGGGATCCCAGGTCTGGAGGAAATCCATGCCTGGATCTCTCTACCTTTCTGCTGTATTTATCTTGTGGCCCTAATGGGAAATACCACAATTCTGGTAGTTATCAAGACAGAGCGTTCTCTCCGAGAGCCCATGTTCTACTTTCTGGCCATCCTTTCTTCAGTCGATCTGGCCCTTTCTACAACCTCTGTTCCCCGTATGCTTGGCATATTCTGGTTTGATGCCCATGAAATAAACTTCGGTGGCTGTGTGGCTCAGATGTTTTTGATCCATGCCTTCACTGGCATGGAGGCTGAGGTTCTCATGGCCATGGCTTTTGACCGTTATGTAGCCATCTGTGCTCCACTACACTATACAACGATCTTGACATCTCGGGTGCTGATGGGCATCAGTATATGTGTTGTGATCCGTCCAGCCTTGTTTATATGCCCCATGATCTATCTCATTTACCGCCTACCCTTTTGTCAAGCTCATATAATAGCACATTCCTATTGTGAACACATGGGCATTGCAAAATTGTCCTGTGGAAACATACATATCAATGCTGTGTATGGCCTTTTTGTGGTCTCTCTCTTTCTTTTGAACCTGGTCCTTATTGGCGTCTCATACGGATACATTCTCCGTGCTGTGTTCCGACTCCCATCGCAGGATGCACGGTTAAAAGCCCTCAGCACATGTGGTTCCCATGTTGCTGTTCTCTGTGTTTTTTATATCCCATCAGTCTTCTCTTTCCTCACTCATCGATTTGGACACAACATACCACACTACATTCACATTCTTGTTGCAAACCTCTATTTGGTCATTCCTCCCTCACTTAATCCCATCATTTATGGTGTGAGGACAAAGCAGATAAGAGAACGAGTTCTCCATGTATTTACTAAAAGGTAAGAGTCTCTCATATTCATTGATCCACCTAGGAAGACTCATGCTTTTGTCTTAGTGGATAGTTCCTATGCCTTGCTGTGGGCTATCAATTTGCAAGACTAATTGGTTTGTCTCAGCCTGTGGGTTAATAATACAGTTCTGCAGAAACTTCATCATATCTCCAAGTTGGAGGACTATTAGACTAGACTGGACAGGCTACTCTGAGAGAAGTTCATGTAGAAATTGTTTGTATGGCTTCATGAAAAACTCTGGCTTCCTTTGCTATTTTCTTCCATTTACGCATGCTTGCAGTTGGTTTTTTTTTTGTTGTTGTTGTTGATTTTTTTTTTTATTTGCAATGATATTGTGTCTGTTGTGCATCTTGCACCATTCTAACATTGGAAGATAAACTGAGAGCCAACTCAAACTATTCGGCTCTGGAAACATTGTGTTTCTGTATGCTCCTCTAAAGCCACAATCCTTGGTTCAAAACAATCATTGCTAAATTGGTAGTTTAAACTTGAATACTCTGCCAAATATATGGGACTCAGTGGAGTGACAGCCAAAGCAAACTCTTTCCAAGAACATTTCCTGTAAAGTCACCAGCACTGTATCATTGACTACCCTGCATTATCTCCATAGCCTAAGCATAACATAATCCAGTTATATGGAGCATTCATACCTATGTGACATATGTTTGTAATTGCCTGGCACTGTGGCTAGTCTTGTCTTTTCAATTTATATTTTGATCTTGCAACACTCTTTTCCAATATCCAAGGTACCTTTTCATGAATCTATGAGATATTTCTCATTCTCTTTAAGAAGAAAAGGAGGAGCTGTATTGTGAGCTGAGACTAACCAATTTTTACACGAGACTAGAGAGGTCTTTTGAGTGATTTACTAAAGACAAAGCCTAGAAATGAAATTTGTGTGGTCAAAAATTAATTTATGTATTTTGAAACTAAAAAAAAGAAGTAAAGTGAAAACATAAGGGATGGTTTCTGCCCTGAGTAACAGTGAACAACCTTCCACTTACTCCTTTCAAAGACAGCAGCTCCTAAGACATATGCAACATTATTGCCTTTAACAATGCCCTAACACAGTTGCTCTCCTGGATTTTGGGGGCAAATTCTAGGGAGTGGTTTTGCTAACTAAAAGTATTTAGTCTTATACCAATCATGGATTTTTTGTTAGATCATTTTTAATGATCTAATTAATATAAATAATGATTTAATTATATAGATGAAATGTTTTAAAGTAATACTTTTATTAATTCTTTGAGGCTTTTATACAAATCATTTTTATCTTGGTTAACCCCCACCTCTTCTCAGATCCATCTCAACCTACCTTTCCTTTCAAATTTGCATCTTCCTTTGTTTTCTGTTTGTAAAATCCATCAAAGTCCTAGCTAGAGAAATAAGTGGATAAGAGCATACAAATAGGAAAGAATGTAGTCAAGATATTATTATTTGCAGCTAAAATGACTCTATGGACAAAAGATCTTAAACACTCCACCAGATATCTGCTACAGCTGATAAGCATGCTCAGCAAAGTATGATACAAAGGTAACACAGAAAAGTCAGTTACCAACTATATACCAACAACAACCACTTAACATACAAAGTCCATCACCAACTATTTACCAACAACAACCACTTAACACACAATGTGTCACTAACTATAAACCACCAATAGCCACTTATCACACAAAGTCAGTCAACCAACTATTTCCCACCATCAAGCACAGTCAGTTGCCAACTATATACCACCAACAAGCACACCAAGAAAGAAATCAGGGAAACTATCCCATTTCCATCAGCCTAAAAAAATAAACCTTGGAATAAATTTAACCAAGGAAGTGAAATACTTGTATAATAGGTTAAATTTTTCTGTGTGTTTATAAAATTAATTCAATTTAAATATTCATCTACTTGTTTTATTTTAATTGGAGAATATGTTGCCAATCTCTACAGTTTTTATGTAAGTGCAATTTATCCTGCTTTTCTTTCTTAAGTAGAATTATTAGTGACAGGGATACCATCAGTAACAATGTTCTACTTTATTAATCTTTGTTTTTGAATCAGTAATTTTTAGAAAACTTCATGTTTTCCAAAAATTTCATTTTATTATAAACCTTCAATTATTTAGCTACTTTGTCCTTCTTAAACCTGCCTTCTTGATTGATTCCTGTAAAATTTATCACTTCTTTTGTTGGATATTATTAAAAGTTTCAGACCTCATTTTCAATTTGTGTTAAAATTAACTTGTGCCAGGCAGTGGTGGCTCATGCCTTTAATCCCAGCACTCGAGAGACAGGGGCAGGCTGATCTCTGTGAGTTCGAAGCCAGCCTTGTCTATACATTGAAACTCTGTCTTGAAAAGCCAGAAAAAAACAAACAAACAAACAAACAAAACACCAAAAAAACCCCCCAAAAAACAAAAAACAAAAAAACAATTAGTAACTTTTCTATGTGAAACAAAACAAAAATATGTGTTCTTTTTTTGTTTTCATTTATCTTTAAAAAAAATTCTTGTGCATCTTTTTACCCCATGTTGTAATCATGAAATATAAATTCCAGAGTTAAGAAAAAACATTAAATGAAGATTTTTGTTTCCTGAGACATGTTTTTAGCAATTTGTTTTTGCAAAAAAAAAAAATGTCATAAATACTTCCTTTTTCTGGAATTCACAAGCTTACATGGGATACACCACGTATGCTCAGTCTGCACTATGGCTGACCACAGTTTCCCTTGAGCTTGCTAGTTTTTACTTTGTCTTTATGTTTACATTTTCTTTCTTTTTTTTTTTTTTTAAATATTTATTTATTTATTATGTATACAGTGTTCTGCCTGCATGTATGCCTGCAGGCCAGAAGAGGGCACTAGATCTCATTACAGATGGTTGTGAGCCACCATGTGGTTGCTGGGAATTGAACTCAGGACCTCTGGAAGAGCAGTCAGTGCTCTTAACCTCTGAGCCATCTCTCCAGCCCTCATTGCATTTGTATTTGAATCAAAGAATAGAAATTTGTAGAATTTTGAGCATTCAATTCTATTGCTTTCTTACTTGTTTTTATTTCCTACTAACTAATGCTGTTAATGAAATTCCTTTATATGAATATAAATTCAGTTCTTTAAAAACATCTTTCCCTTGTTCTTTAGATGACATGCTTATTTTTGATGTTGTACATTTATCGATATATTTATTATATATACATATATTTTGACTAATTGTGAATTTTATTTATAATTATTGTTTGTGTTGGGGGTGGGGGGGTCAAGGCAGACACACAGAGATCATAGAACAACTTTGCGTTGTGTGTTTCCTCTGTTGACCTTTACATAGCTTTTGGTGACTGAGCTCAGGCCACCCTCTTGTCTCCCCCCCATCACAGATATGTATATATATATGCATGTATTCATGTTCAATATACTCATGTATTCATGTTCAGTATTCAATAAATTCTTACTGTCTGAAATTCTATTTATTTACCATTTTCAAGAGGTTTTCATGGTTTGTTTATATATTTATTACCACTTATTTTTCTGTACATCCCTGGCAATATTGAAAAATAAAATTTGAATTCTTCTGTTCATGAATTTTACCTTTCTTTCAAGAATTGCATGTTTTGTCTTTAGCCTTTTTGTCTGCTCAATATAAATATTTTCAAACAGTAAATTTTTTATTCTGAAAGTACTCATGATTATAAGTTTCTGTCTTTCCCACAAACACACATCATTTAAGGATTCTAACTGCATATATGTAAAATATTGGAAGATATCTTGTGTTTCGTATGTTTTGATCATATTGTTAACATTTCAAAAGTTGTGATTATTTACTAAGAGGTTTTTCTTTGCCTTTTTGATTCCCTTGAAGCATCTAGACTAAGAAGTTTTTGCAAGTAGGATTTTAGGAAGGAGTATTCTGGGGTGGAAGTATGAAAGTAGGAGGCTCACTTGGGAGTGGTAAAACAATGAAACACACTAAGTTTCATTGCAAAGAGGAATAAAGTCAGAGAAGGTATGATGGTTTTCAATCAGCTAACTTCAAGGTAGTAAAAATCTCGTTATGTAGGTGATCCAATATAATCACATGGACCATTAAAAGTGGACAAGAAAAAGATAAGATTGAAAGGAGATGCAGTGACAAATCATGGCTACAGTCATGACATATGAGGATGAATCGTACTTCTGATGCTTATCTTGAAAACACTGAACCAGGACTGTGAGCAAACTATAAAAGATCAGAAAAAAAAATGTTCTCACTGAAGAAAAGAGGGCATCTAATGAGAAACATACTGACTTTCTAAACAACAGAGCAGAGAAGTGTTAAACCTGTAGTAATTTGCATCACTAAAATTTGGGTTAATGGGTTAATTGTACCAGTAGGAACCAGATATACTTGTTCTCTCAAAATCAACATGGTAGCAAATTGGGTGAAGAAAGAAGGAGGGAATGGTTTGTGGTGTCCTGAGGTGAAGCCTTTACACTCAGAGGATTGAGCTGCAATATCCTTTCACATTGTTCTTGGTCAATGGATCATGAGAATCACTTATTCTAAATGATGAGTGTCTCATGTCCATGTCTTTCATGAACAAGCCCTCCAAGTTGGAAACCTGAACATTCAGCTTTTAGCATCATGTGATATCCACTAATCTCATGTACTTTTTTCTTTATGCTTAATGACAATAGGAGTAAAATAAATTATACTTATTTGACTGGCTTATTTACTCTGCAGAGAAATTTCAAATTTGAGACTAATGAAATATGCACATGGTTTTATTATATTAGTCATTGGAGAGGAAGTAACAACAATATCAATAGTATCTACCTGCTGGCTTTTTTATCTTACTTTCATTACTGACAGAGAAATCACTGAACCAGCACGATATATCTCAATGTAATAAAAAATTCTGCAAGTTTATTTTTATTGGGGAAACACTAAAAACTGAGTCATGATGTTGATATCATGATAAACCATGTAATTTTGTAATGTTGGGATCAAATTAATCAGTGGTGTGTTGT